AATGTTATTCTTATCATATATTTGTGTGACCTACGATATATATTTCCTTTTCTTCTTATAAGTACATTTGTACGTGCAAAAAACCTAAAATCATCAAGGAAAGAGATCCTCTCCGGATCCCTTTCACCAAAGTCATCGGATCAAGTGATCCAGACTTTTAAAATTTCATCTAACGGCCCACTTGTTGTAATCCTTTAAAAGCTATAATAATTTTTTACCATTGAGGAATAAAATTTTAAAAGCCTGGATCACTTGATCTGGTAACCTTGGTGGATCTCTTTCCAAATCGTCGGTTCACAAAACAATAATGCACATCATAATCGTCGTGCGAAAATCCTAAAATCATCGGGTCACAAAACAATTATGCACATCATGATCATCATAACGGCAAGCAAACTGTAGGGGAACACGAACACTGAATACATTACTGGCATATAAAAGTAAAAGATCAAAACCTTAAATATTATAAGGTGCACAAGCTGCTTACAAATTAGGGTTCAGATAAAACCAGCTTTGTGCATTAGCATCCATACAACTTCGACTCATCTTATTTATTCGGCCATTAAATATTAAGGGAAAACTCCAATGATCTCCAAAGCCAGCTTCATTAAGCTTGTAATTAATTAATTAGCCAGAACATAGGCATCAAGCTCCTGGAAGTTCTTGACAGCAAAATCCTTGATGATGCTTGGTTCGGGAACCTGTTCGTGTGCTTTCTCAAACACCGACGACCATTTCACCAAGCTCCCGTCTCCCTTGGGAGTCACGGTTAGGACGCACTTGAAGCTCTTGTAGTACTTGAGCAGATCTCCGTCGATCACCTTATAAGCAACCGCCTTTCCGACTTCATCCACTGCATCGATCGTCTCCTTTGATACTTTCACAAGTGCAGAATCTACGTGCAAGGAAATGCGTTATTTATAAGAAAATGTTCTTTTGTCAAACTGTAAATTTGTCTGAGACTGTCAGACGTGAATTTGTAAATTTAAGTATAACATAAGTCTAGTAAGAACATTCTGCATGAACGTACCGTCAGCATATGTAATAAGGCGAACGGATCCGACAGCTTTGCCATCGCCTTCGAGGACATCGATGCTTTTGTAGTCCTGAGGGAATGCCTTGGGGAAGACAGTGGTGGAGTCCCTAAGGGCTTCCCAAAACTTTTGTGCAGGAGACTTCACCTCAACTTCAACCTCAAGCTTTCCATCAAATGTAGCCATTGTTATGTAAAATGTGGTAGCTTGAGCTAGAACAAGAGTGTACTATATAGAATCAGAGGAAATTGACTAATCGCTTAGAGAATTGGTTGAGATTTCTGAGAATTAGGCATGCATATATATACTAGTTTGAGTGCTCCGGAGGTCTTAAATTCAGTAGGAATTAGCTCAACTGCCACTTTATTAACTCCATAACAAACGCAACCAAAATTGATACCATTCACACGCATCATGCACGACATGGGAGAACGCCGCACAATTAGTATAGAGTAAAGCTATAGAGACTAACTTTGTAGACAAAATTTGTAAATTAAATTATGTGTAACCAATATAAATGAGCACGTTTATCAATGTTTAAGTAATAATTCAATCATCAACTTCCATGTCATTTAGTTTACAAAATTTTGTCAACATATGTAGTCTCCCCAGCATTATCCATTACTTTAACTGGTGTTTTTGTTCTAGAATTATGGCCAAATTAAATAATTAATAATTTTTAAAATTAAACTTAAAACTAATAAATTATTAAGAGGCTATTTTTAGCCCATGCGGTTGGAGATGATGTATAAATATGGCCTACATTGTCACTAAGATATAATTTCTTATAAGATTATAATTCTAGACGGGGCTATCTTTAGCTCTTTCGGTTAAAAATGACTTAAAAAAATAAAAAGTTGTAAAACCTAGCTACAAAATTGATCTTTAACAATTTTTTATACTATATGATAAGATGTTAAAGGAATATTTGATCGATAAAACAATAATATTTAATTGATATGTGTCAATGTTTATACGATGGATCATTAATATTCGATCGGTTAATATTTATTATTTAATAAATACACTATAAATATTTGATATATTTTGATCCGTTCAACAGTTAAATTTATAACTCAATCATTTCCTACAAATTTTCAAAATTATTTACTCGTTGTACAGATGATATTAATAGAGAAGGGCGACTCACCTAAGTTAGAGGCGAGTTTGCTGGACAGCGCACAATCGCACAACCATTATGGTGACTGTGTTCAAATGAATCATAGAGAATGTTGTGCGTGCTTTAATTGAGAGTAGGTGAAATGATTATGCGTGAGGACACATGAAAGTTAATATTAATTGCTTTGTGTTTATCATTTTTCAATTGAATAATTTGATATTTTTAGCATTTTTAAATTAAATTTGTAAATCAAATGATATGATTGTTGATGATTGAATTGTTACTAAGCGTTGATTAACGTGTTTATTTTCTATTGATGACACATTATTTTGTTTGCAAATTTAATTTAAAATTTTGTTCTCCCTAACATTACCCTTTTCAAAATATTAAATATTAATTTTAAACTTAAGCTACTTTTGATGTGTCAAATATACGTTACGCATTATTTACTCATTGACTCCGACCTCATTTTCACACAACTAGAAGAAGAAGAAAAAAGTATAAATACTTGAGTAACCAAAAATAGGAATACTAAACTTTTTGGGTCCCATTTGGGTGTTGAATGTGACAAAAATTGCATTAATTCTGAGCATCTCATAATCTCATTACATTGTCCATTTCAAATTTTCAAAATAATAGAAAATAGTAACAAATCAAACAATAAAAAAATGATGAGACAAACATATGAAAGCACCCTCTCAACTGCAAACCCTTTTGTTTGTTTGTTTGTTTTTTTTTTTTTTGGTTGAGAAAATTGTAAAAATGTAACAAAAAAGGTGTTGCAGTAGCTTCAATTTCCTTGTCAAACACCTTCCTCATCATCCAATGTTAGGCAAACAAAAAGCAATACCAACTTCTCCTTTCTCTTTTTTTTTTTTCTTTTTCTTTGAGTACTTGTTTGTGTAGACACAAGAGAAAAAATATAATTAAGAACGAGATATCCGAGATACAATAGAAGTGACCGCAATTAAAGATAAGATGAATGAAAATCGGTTAAGGTGGTATAACATGTGAACTGAAGACATATAAATGCTCCAGTTAGAAATGCGATTATGAGGCAAAGGTTGAAGGCAAAACAGGTAGATGAAGACCTATGAAGACTTGGAAATAAATACTAAGAACTGACACAGTACTTGGAGGTGGAGCTAACGGAAAATTTAGCACAAAACTGAGCGCAGTGACCGCATTGTAGGTACACCTGACCTCACTTAGTGGGATACAATTTGTTGTTTTTTTACTTGTTTATGCAGTGAGAGCTACCGTTTAGGGTTATTGGCGGATGATTTGTTGAGTACTCTCCTCTCCTAATCCAACTTCAGTTGCTCTATACGTACACTCTCGACCCAATTTTCATAATATAATTTTTCTTTTATTCTTCTGTATTTTTCAAACTAGGAAAATTTCGACTTCGTTTTCTACCCTCCCATGCATTTCAATCCTCAATGCTGAGAACAAAACTGGATCAAACTTAAGAACCATTATGCCTTTTGGTCTGGTTTCGGCCTGGAGCAAGTGCCGGCGATCGAAGTCCCATTACCTTACAGACCCTTGTACGTTCTTTCTTCTTATTGTTCTTCTCTTTCCCTGCAGCTTTGTTTGCAAAGTGTTTGCTGCCAACTTTTCGTTATGATTTACGTGTGATCACCTTTCAGGGATTTATAAACCGGTGGAGTACTGGCAGCTCGAGGATCAAACCCCCCAACCCACCAAAAGACACCACCATGGTTCAGCAATTTTCACACTCAAAGAAATGGAAGAGGCATCATGTTCCTTCAGTGAGGAAAATTTGCTCGGAAAAGGAGGGTTTGGGCGTGTATACCGGGGAAATTTGCGGTCGGGAGAGGTATATTTCTTTAGTAATTAGTTTCTGGAATTTTGAAGAACTCAGATTTCCATGCACACACTAATATGCACTCTGTTTTGGAATGTAAAGGTTGTAGCGATAAAAAAAATGGAGCTGCCACCTTTTAAAGCAGCCGAGGGAGAACGAGAATTTCGGGTAGAAGTAGATATCTTGAGCAGACTTGAACACCCAAATTTGGTTTGTTTGATCGGCTATTGTGCTGACGGGAAGCAACGATTTCTGGTGTATGAATATATGCAGAAAGGGAACCTACAAGATCACTTAAACGGTTGGATTTTCAACTAGGAATGCCTATATATGCTCAATTAACATGTGAATAATTAATCAGTTTGCTAATCTTCGGAACAATCTTTAATCGTATGACAGCGATTGGGGAAGCGAAAATGGATTGGCCTCGACGGCTCAAGATGGCACTTGGAGCAGCAAGGGGACTAGCATATCTGCATTCTAGTTCTGCTGTAGGGATTCCTATTGTTCACAGAGATTTCAAATCCACCAATATTCTTTTAAGCGACAACTTTGAAGCAAAGGTAAAAACAAGTTTACTTGATTTGAAATTTTGCGTCAGGTTGCTTTTGAACTTTGAACAGAACATATGCAGCTGAAATTTAATCACGATTTCATGTAGATATCGGATTTTGGACTTGCCACGATGATGCCGGAGGGCCAGGAAATACAAGCGACTGCTAGAGTGCTCGGAACATTCGGCTATTTTGATCCCGAGTATACATCGGTATGCATCTTTGAACACTCCATATGGCTGCATTTAAATTTTTGTTTCTCAAACAAATATAATCTATTAAGTTTCATGCATTCTGCAACTTCTCTGTGTTCAGTACTGTAAAAATAGGCGAACAGAGACAACATAGATTGACACAAAGACGGATTTTCTCCAGAAATTTCATAAGCTCCACGTTTATATGCTTGTGATGCATGCTGCTTCCTGTAATTTTCACTTTTATGCATTTAACTCACAAATGAATGCTCGTAAGATATTTTTGATCATATTATTCATAGAAAAAAAACAATGCTACACTTATACAATAAGAGGTGTATTTGGAAACAGACCGGAAAACTCACTTTACAAAGTGATGTTTATGCATTTGGAGTGGTTCTTCTTGAACTTCTGACTGGGCGTCAAGCCGTTGACATTACCTTGGGACCAAATGATCAAAACCTTGTGCTACAGGTAGGAAATCTTTTCTCACTCCTAATCCTACTCTGGTTAAGTACATTAGGTCGTTAAACATGACCAAAGTTCATATGTTACAGGTAAGACACATATTGAATGATCGGAAGAAACTACGCAAGGTGATAGATTCTGAGATGGGTCGAAGTTCATACACCATGGAATCTATAGCTATGTTTGCAAACCTGGCATCACGGTGTGTGCGTCCTGAGAGCAGTGAGAGACCTTCCATGGCAGAATGCGTAAAAGAGCTCCAGCTGATAATCTATACAAATGCAAAAAGCTTGGGAGTGGCCGTGGCTCCCAATAGACGCACGTTCTAATTGCAGGGTGAAGATTATGTACAACAAAATTGAAATCCTTTACTTCTTCTAATAAAAGAATTGATGAATCTTCAAAGCTTGGTGACCTATGATCTTAAAAACAAGACCCACGAAGAGAATTTGATAAGGATTGAGAAATAGAGAATGCAATTGACTACATATATTAGACTGGAAATTCATCACGAAAATGATCAAACTGAAGTTGGTTTTCTTGTACAAGACCAAGGGAGTCTACGACGTAAATTAATAATGAATGAAATCAAAGATAAGAGGGGATCATTTTCTTGTATCACTATATTTTGGAAACTTTACAACCTTTGCGATTGTAAATTATATACTGTTAAACTCAGAGTATATGTAATTTGTACTTTATATATGTTTTCCGTATGAGTTTACAGAGTCACAAGGCAGAGAGAAGCATATTACAATTTCATGCATCTCTATCGTTTCTTAATCTATTTACTCAAATTCTTCAAGAAAAAAAAAAGCACATTACTGAAGCAACAGACGCCAAAGCTAGAAAAGAAAATGGAGGGAGGGAGGGAGGGAGGGATTATTTGGAGCAAATTCTAGAACTTTTATTGCACTTCAGGATTACGTATGTACAATTTCTAACTCACATGTACCAAAACTAGAGTGGATATGGTCATTGAACTATATGTTTGCATTAAGGTTAGGAGTCTAGGACTACATATGACATACAAGAAATAGACATGCCTGATGAGATTACCTGCAGCAGGCCAGGACTCTACCATACACATTATAAAATGCAAGCAATCGGCACATAGGATCAAGCATTCTACAAAGACGTCAACCGAGCTGGATAATCTTCACAACCTCAAGGCCTCTAATCATCTATCCTGGACAAAATTGGATTTAAGGAACAAGGCAACAGTATGAGATTTATCTGCATGATGATTTATCGGTACAATCTACAAAACAAGATTGTGGCAGTAACTGCATGTGTACCTCAGAGACACATATTATGATGTTCACATATATACATTCATGGTGTTGATTCCTCTTCAGAACATGACGTATCTGATTCCGAAAAGCTGTTTAAGACTGGAATTTTCTTGCACATTAAGTGCTTGCGCCTCTGCAACAGCAACATAACCAAAATGTTATCCGTCTTTACAATGTCGTATCCTGCTTTTTTATACATGTTGAATGGAGCTGTGTCAATCATCCTGCAATGCAAGTACACCTCTCTTGAGGAACTCATCTGCGAGATTAGTTCCTCGCTTGCCTTCAAAAGATGCCAGCCAATGCCCCTCCTGAAATTCACAAAACCATATCTTAAATCCAGCCCCATTCGCAACACCGTAAAGAAAAGGCTGTTTGTTTTTTTTAACTAGTGTTGTGTGATGAGTAGTCCTGTGATCAGTCAGTTCAAAAAACAATACAATTACAAAAACTCAATGGATTCAATCTGCGAATTACGACAAAAATGCAATGCAATACAATTGTGACAAGAACATAAGGACCCCAAATTTTCCAATTGGAAGTTATAACAAGCCCAAGAAACAAACAAATGATAAAGTAAAAGCTTCAATTGGGGAAGAACAACGAACCTCCGAAGCGACTTTTTCACGGCCATGTTACTTATATAAGGCGAATTCTTAGGAGGAGTTGGTGTGGGAGGAGAAGCATTGGCCCCCTTTTTGTTAAAGCAAACTTCCACAGTCCCCGCCAAAAGCTCAACTTCATCTTCTACTTCTTCCAGTTGTTCTTCTTCTGCTTTTCCCTCTTCTTTTTTTCTTCTGTAAAACCCGATGAGCGTGGCAGTGTTTGGAACCAGCTCCATTCTCTCAAACAAGTACTGCTTGACCAAGTATGCCAGCACAGACACATACGCAGAAGGCAAAAGCATCGACTCCGCAAACGACTCGGCGAGCAACCCAACGGTGATGTCCAACTCTTCAGGCCTCATCACCCGAACCCACATCGACCCAGATTCCAATTCCTGGTAATACCTGAAACCCTCGAGGAGTTTGAGCTGCTCGAGCTCTTCATTGCTCAGAAACTTACATGTTCGAAGTGGGTATTCAAGGAATGACGCAGCTGTTGAAGTAGTAGCAGCGGAATCAGTATTAGTGGAATCAGTAGCGGTGGTGGTAGTGGGAGAATGAGATGGGGAGGAGGAAGACTTGAAGGAGAAACGGTCTGAATTGGGGAAAAAAGAAAGTGGGTATTTGGGGGGAAGACTAAGAGATGAGGAGGTTGACGGAGGGAAGCGAAGAGTTTGGCGGGGACTGAAGTGGTAGAGATGGCAGTGGTGGTGGTGGTGCTGCTGCTGCGGATCTAAAGAGAACGAGAGTGAAACAGTTGCGGCCATAGAACTCACAGTGGAGGATGGAAGCAAAACAGTGGATGATTACTTCTGGTACACACTTTGTGTGGAGTTCAAATCACACTTGAATTGACATACATCCCAAGAAAAGAGGATCCTCGCCGGATTTTTTGTGATCCCGAGAATCTTTTAATTATATTTTATAGTATATTATGCGCTTGATTTTCGTTAAGTGCAAAATTAGTAAGCCAATTGAAGTAACTTTGGATAATGTTACATAATACTTTGAGCATCAAAAGGCTACTTTGACGAGAAATTTTTAATTGTTATGCGAACACGGATAATACATCATATGTTTTTATACAAGTAGTGAAAAATTTTAATTTTTAAGTTTTTAACCTTTTAACGCACATAACTCATCATTTATAGAGACAAGTGATGTACCACCTCGTGTGACGATCACACTCAAAAATCTCTTCTACTTTGACATCAACTATCTGACATCTTACTTGAAAATGGAACTCAAAAATTAATTTTTCTTAATTTGATTTAAATTTTTAAAATTTAAAAACAAAATTATATAATTTAGAACCTCAAAAGAAAAAACAAAACTTTGATACAACCGGTACGATCTTCCAACTACCCATCCCTCCACTCTCCCTCCACTCCTCGCCGGCCATTTTCCTAGTTTCTTAAAACCCCGGCCAGTCCCCTCTCCGTTACGGCGGGAGAGGCCTATCGGGTCATTGATGTCAGATCGAAAATTCATTAACTTTAAAATCGCGAGAGAAACAAATCGAATCTGGGATTCTTCACTCTCTGACAGTTCAATTCCGTCGATTTATCTTGGCCTTCGAGAGAGAGGGATACGGGAGAGGGAGGCAAGATCCAAAATGTTTAAAAACATACTTTTTGTGTTTTTAACAAATAGGCTTTTGTGTTTGAGTTCTTTTTGAATTGTATTTTCAGGAATTGTAATTCGGAGTACTATTCGGTTTCCAGAATAGCTGAAAAGTACTCCGAATTATAACATCCTTTCTTTGAAAAAATTTAAGGTATTTCCATTTTGTTCGGTTTAGAAATGTCCATAAAAGTTGGGAAGAAAGACACATCAAAAAGATACAAACTTGCAACCACACAAATTCCCAAAATCTTGGAACACAATTTGAAGGCTGGAAAATTGAAGTCAACGTGGCAAGATTTACATTATATTTGGAGTTCTCAGAGAAAGTTCAGGGAGCTTCCAATTATCTATCAAAATTCTCTACCACTTTTTCCAATTCGAACTCATCTGTACGCCTTCCCACATTTGCAGATCATAATCTCTGGAACCCTTTATTTTGTTTTTCTTTTGACAATAACTAATCTAACTTGTTGGGAGAGAGATTCGAACTTAGATGTAACGGAGCAAACACACCACCTTGACCAACCGGCGTAACTCACGTTTTCGTCTGTGCCCCTCTCAAACCTTCTCCACCAAATCTTCAATCAACTCATTCTTCCATTACAACAGAACAACAGTCAATGCAGTTTGTCTTCCTCTTCATTTGGCCTTCTCCCAGATTCGTAACCACCACATAAACTGGGAACAAGAATGAAACAAACAAACATAACCCATCAATCTGATTCAGTAATAACTCATTTTGCTCTCCTTAATTCTCGAGAGAAACTTACCAACAACGGGGGTGTCATTGCGTTACTATTCCAAACCAATCACGTAATGTCAAAGCTAAGTTTCCAACGTGGAAGTGCGGCTTGGAATAACGCCACAGTAGCATCACCGTTAGATGGAAGTTCTTCTCCTCAATTCACTTCCTTTGTTTCCATTTCTTCATAACCTCCAGCAGAATCTCATTCCATGTGTCAATGGGCCCTGGCAAGCACCAATGCACACAATCATTCTGCACCCTCTCAGGAACCCCATCAGCAAATGGAAACTTATTCATGTAAGGCCCTGGATGCCCATCTGGCCTCATCAAGGACAATTTTGTCACATCCAATGCCTCCAGCCTAAACCCTTTGAATTTCTTCCCATTTGCCCTAGCCACTTCCACTTCTTCCACCTCAAGCTGCCTCATCTCGGCATCCATTCCTTCAAGCTGCTTCTCCCCTTCCTTGTAGGGTTTGTTCTTTGAACAAGCCCCAATCTTGTCCCATTCCCCTTCAAAATGCGCAGGCGAAAATGTCGTCAGAACCACATCAATCCCATTCCCATTCCCTCTCCTCTCAATTATGGTATTGAGAGTAGTCCTCACAGCTTTCCTCAACACATCATAGAATCCAATCTCAGTGTGGTTTAATCCAGGGCAAAAATGGCACCCCAGAACATCATCCCCCTCAAAATACACTGCTGGGTGCAAAAACCAATGCCCAACTGACAATACAAACATATCAAATCCCCCCAAATCTGCAGCCCACCTCTCATCGACTTGATCCAAATACAATTTATTATAATTTGGACCATTTGGTGATTTCTCAACCCCTTTCACAAGAAATGGTGACCAATAAACCGACACATTGGCATTGTGGGACGGGAAATTCCATCTCCTAAACTTCCTCTCCTCCCCATCTGTGTAAACAAGGTTGGGAGGAGAGGCAGTGGCAAGCAGGCAAAGGAGGGACTCCAACTGGTTCCTGGCCATGGAGTCCCCCACAAAAGCTATGTGCTTGTTGCTAATGAGTTGGAGAAAAGTGCTGGGTTCAAACCTGGGAAGCTGGCACTTGCTGGGTTTCCACCTCCAGTAGAGATAACCCAAATCAGTTCTTCCATGAGTGATGCAGTTCTGACCTTCCTTGATTGTCCCACAGGTTGTGCCATTGTACAAAGGACCCAGCTTTTCATGGACCCATTTGCCCCTGGTGTAGTCACATGTAGATGTAGTTTCTTTAGCCTTTTCTGCACACAACAAAAACCCAACAAAAAATATAAGGCAAAATCCTTGTTATCTATGATAAAGATTCAAGCCGTAAGTACCTAGAAAACAAACCCAACTGGAAAAATTAAAGAAAAAAGATAACTGCACAGAAAAATGCTTTTAGTAAGCACCTTGAGAGGAGGAAATACGGGGTAATGGAGTAGGAGAGGAGGTTGAGATGGTAATTTCTCTGGAGTGAGGGAGGTGATCTGTGGAGGTGAGAGGGAGAGAGGGAGTGTATAAGTACAAGCGGATTACAGCAATGGGGAGGAGGGCAAAGATTGCATAAGGCAAGAGCTTTTTGGCCAGAGATAATGAGTGATGAGATTGGTCTTTGAAAGGGCTTGCCATTTCAAAGTCCCAGTATTTTTTGCTTTTTTTCTGGTAAAATGCTTAATCTATCAGCTGAGAGGAAGTTAGAAAAGTGCTTTTTGAGCTGGATTAAGCTTATAGAGAGAGAGAGAGAGAGAGAGAGAGAGGAGAGAAGCTTGTTGTGGGATGAATGATTCAGTCAAATAGAAATCCCATTATCTCTCTGGTTGGCCAACTAATTCCAAATCCAGACCAGTTTTTCGGTTTGTGATTGTTGTCTTCGTACCTGTTTGCAACATGTGGACTCTACTTCTGCTTTGCCCTTCCTCTTTTGTTTTTTTCTGGAACGGATGTTTTAAAAATAAATAAATAAATAAACCATATTATCTACTTTAAAAAGAGAGGTAGATTTAATCTCATAATAGCTTAATATTAATTTAGTTCAAATTTTTCTTTAACAAAAATCGAACCTAAACTTTTCACTTATAAATGAAAAAGAATACTACTAAATCGTAATACTAAATGGCAAGATGTTTATCTTTTAAAATATCTTTTTTGGGTTGGTTTTTTTGTTTTCTTCAAACAAAGAATATAATTATTTGGTCCCTTTCTTTTTGTCTAGGATGTGTACGTACACTGTCGGTAAGGTTACTATAATCTGTAATTTGGGACAGTGAAACCTCAAACTGCCCTTCTTTTAGAGGGACATATTCCTTTGTAACCATAGGTTTGTTGAGGATAAGATCGTCTTTGAGCCCTAAAGAATGTTTTTCTCCGATCATTACAATTATCGATGGCTTTGAGCCCTAAAAGGAATTACCTTTACAACAAGAAACCATGGTTACAACTTACAAGTCTCACATTTGTCACCTGCTCCATCTATGCTTCAAAACCAAAAGTTCAACAAAATGTTATTCATATTGGATGATGAAAACTTTTATTTTGTTGTGACATCCATTATCTAACACTATTTTTGTATTGCCACATTCTTCTTAAGGAGATTCCGCTCCGTTCATAGCTGAAACGAAATACTTGACAACATATTGATAGTCATCTAATAACTGGCAATGTGGCAAGATGTGGAGATATACCAAAACCGTGTCAACATGTTGCACAAACATTTCAACATCTATATCAACACCACAATGACATCTAATACAGACAACGAATTAAGTATTTACTTTCAATTGCAATAAGGCAGAATCTTGCTTTTGAGGAGGGAGAGTTGTGGGTGAAATTTTTCTATGCAACAACACGCTCAAAGAGAAATCCGTACAGGACGGTCTCATGCAAGTTGTATTTTCATCCGTTGGATCATAACCCTAAAATATATAATGAAGTGACACATGTTGATGTTGATGTCTAGGCTTCTAGCTACAAGATGGTGTACACATGTTGATGTTGATGTCTAGGCTTCTAGCTACAAGATGGTGTCCACTCCACAATACCAATAATACAAGAACCCCATAGTACCTATATAATACAAATACAAATGCAAATTGCATCTTATAAAGTCAAAAAAATAATCATGTGAAACATCTAAAAAGCCTAAAAGAGAGGGGTGCTGCACCTGCACCACATATTGTATCATTATTTAGGGGAAAATATCGTCGCCTGATATTTTCGTAATCTCAGTTTATCGTATATCGTACGGTAAAAAATTATTTCAAAATTTAAAATTTAAAATTAAATATCAATAGTTATAACAAAAATTGACTGCACGATATACAATGAACGGACGAGATCACGGGATCCCTAGGAAAAAGATATGGCGAGGATCCTTTTCCATTATTTAGGTTACTCTCACCTAAACCATATATACAAAGAGTGGTGTTATCCCCACACTCATTTTTACTCTTCACACATTCAGTGTTGATTTATACTCTTTGATCTTCTTCAACTATTTTGATATGACAGCCGAAAATTGAGGGAAATTATGAGATATAAAAAGTAGTGTGTGGATATCACCCTATACAAAT